GAATCTGCATTTATTTTTAGGTGGTTTGTTCGTTTGTTTTGCTCCCAACAACAAATATGCGGCTCGTTCTTACGTGCTTTCGACATAAACCACGGTCCATTCTCTCCTGAGAAAGGGGTGAGAATTAACATCGCCTGTCGACATCTGTCTCAGTCTCTTCTACCACAAGTGCACTAAAGCCGAGCTTCTTCGTTCATGTTAAAATTCTTTCAGTAGTATTATGGTTAGCTTTTGGCTGCGGTTTATGAAAGTGACATCTTAAGTTTCACGGATGGCTAAGAGGAGCACCGCATAAAATTGGATTTGAATTTTTTAAGATATTTAGGGTAGGCCAGGCCTGTGCACCATTTTAAGGAGTCAACCTAACCAGTTTGAGTTTATTTAGTTTCAGGAGAAATTAATTGCATTAAAAACTGAAGTAACTAGTGACTGCATGTGGTTTTAAAACAAACCACACTGGCATATATCTCTTGTCTTCATAAGCAATTAGCTTTTGTTCCTGTAGAAAAAAAGATCATAATATTTCATCTTGTTGTTATAGTTTTTCATACTGTAAAATAAAATCAGGGTTTAATTAAAGTAACTGTAGGGTGTATTTACATTTTTAGGTAGATTTCTGCTTGTGTAAGCATTTTTAAAAATGTTGTAAAAAAATAGCTGCCATGTTTCAGCTTTCATTTCATTTTTTAAACATTGGTACAAGCTTTTTCCTCTTAAACATTGAGATGAGATGGAAGGAGGAACAATGTTTTCTAAGTAACACGTCTGTCCTGATGGTCCAGTTTATGCTGATGAAAATCAGAGGTTTGGATATGCATCAGACACTTGTTACTGTTACTTGAAGCATTTCCTTTCACAGTTTTTAGTGACGTCTTTAATGTGAAGGACGTATGTGGTCCGAATACTTGGGTAAAACTATTTGTGAGGTATGAGGTGATGATTCAAGTATCATACATCACCTGTGTAATGTCTTGAAGGAGAGTCGCGCAGGATTCTGCACAATCTTTGGTTTTAGTTATCTGTCATCGCCCCTGGTGACTATCAGATGATCTGAAACTATGCAACCATTTGTAAAGAAAACATCGTGTCTCTATCAGGCAAAATGTAAACTTGTGTTTTGCTGCTTTTGTGATGATTTACTAGTTTTAATGTCAGCAAGGCCTAAATAAAAAATGTCACCAGAGGAAACATTTGTTAGAGGCAAAAAAAATAAACTTCAAATAAATTTATTATAGATTTACACCTGTGTGTAATTTGTCCATGAATGACACAAAGTTGTGTGTATTCATTACGTTCACCTTTTGCTCATAGTTGGAGAAGATTTACAATAACTGTCCAAACCGTAATGAATGCAAGTTAATTTGTTTAATCGCTTACCCGACCAGTTTACCAGGTAAGAAAAATATTCTGAAATGTATGTGCTCTCATCCAGTGATGTGAGTGTTGTCTTATGAGGTAAATCCGATTGTTCAGTCTGACGTCACTAGCCGTGTCTGGGCCTAAACTCCGCTGCAGGTCCATATATCAAACGAT